CTGCACAGCACGTAGTGCTGCATAGGACAGTATAATCACGTATCTAGATATTTTATATTCATATAATAAATATTTGATTCATATTCTGAATAGATTATAAAAGGGTATATTATTCAGAGCATTATATGAAGAGAATATATTAACTTATTATAACAAAACTTCTATACCTTTAATTATAGTAATACAAAAATTCTGAGCTAAAGACTTTATGATTCTTGATCTGGGCCTAATACAGTCACAGGATCCTGAAATATAACAAATATACTGTGCAATAGTTGTACTAAAATCAGAAATGCAATGCAATTAAATTTAATCAAGAATATACTTTGTGAAGATAATAAATTTTATAATAATTATTGTCAAGAAAAAATTTCAAACTGAAAATTTAAATTTATTATTATATCAGAAATGGGGTGATATATAATATCATGAAGTATATAGTTCATATTAGGGTAGAGAACAGTCTCAACAGAATTTTTTTAGAAATTAATTTAGGCTATATAATAATTTATCATGTGACCAGTATTTTAAAAGATGGCCCAAATTAATTTTAAAAAAAAGCCTGTTGGGTTCGTTCTCTACTCTAGTTCATATGGCATATTTTTAGTAATGTATTTTTCATAAAATCTCAAATACATTAAATACAACAAAATGATCAGCATCAGTAAAGTTTAGACTATGCAAAGTTAATTTTTCATTTTGCATAACTCACTGATCCAAATTTCTAAAACAATTTTTATTTTTTTTTTAAATTTCTATTGTACCAATTATTCTATTTTTGTTATTTAATTTTTGTTCTGGTATTACCTGATGATAGCCATGATTTTTTCAAAATATTCTTTGAAAAAAATTAAAATTTTTTAATTCTATATTATAAAAAATTAATTTTGTTTTACCTTAGATATAAACATGAATTAATTTAGGCCACGCAAAGTTAATTTTTTTTTTAAAAAAATAATAATAATCTAACCTGCTGACTAGAATTTTGAAATACCAGATTATGCAAAATAAAAAATTAACTTTGCATGGTCTTATACATATTCATGTTAGTATTCAGGTAAATATAGAATTAAGTTATAATAACTAGAAGGTTTTAAATACACTGCACTGTTATTTTAGTCATAGAGTCTGCAAACTATTTAGCAAAGGTTTATGCACTACTATAGTAGTCATGGAGCCTAAAACAAGGTTTTTGCATTGCTACCATAGTTGTAAAGCCTAACTGCCAAAGTTCTTATATTGCTACTATAGCCTAATTGCTACAAAAGTACTACAGGAACAAAATTCTTGTACTATTTTAGTCTCAGAGCCTAATTGCTACAAAAACAAAATTATTGTACTACTGCAGCAGCTGCAGAAATTCATAGTTACAAAAATAAAAAAACAAAACAAAACCAGATTCTTACATACTACTGTCTAATATTAATCTTGTTATACAAGTAACTGTCAAGTATTTAAACTAAGCTTTTTTTACTAAAAATATTACTCTTAAATATACTATATTATATCTTTCTCCCTCCATCCCACTGATCTGATTCACGCTTTGAAGTCATATAAAAATATACCTTTACTTTAGCACTAATTTGTTAACATTCATATAGGTTTACCACTTAATAACATAACTAATAAAAACCTGATCAAATGAGACCAATATAGCAACCTATAAAAGGTCACTAAGTATGTAATCTATAAAGTCATCTGATCTAGCAATTTGATAACAAGCTACAAATTATTAAAAATTAAATTACTTTTGTTAAGAACATCTTATCAACAATAATGATAGAAATTGAAAGTTATTAAGCTTTACTCACCAGTATCACTAGCACCACAGTATTACTAGTATCACCAGTATCACCAGCATTACTAGTACTACCAGCATTACCAGTATCACCAGTACTACTAGTATTACCAGCATCACCAGTATTACCAATACTACTAGTAATACTAATATCACCAATGTCGATTGGTAATTGGTGATTAGTAAAAGTAGTATACTATTAGAATTTATTTCACCTGCAACCTAGTATATATCCTACCAAAATGCATAATTTTTAT